CTATATATATGATGTGTTGTTTTTCCGGGTGTTCATCCGTGGTTGTCTATTCGATAGTTGACGTTTCACCATCATCTCAGATGATGCCCTGCTTCGCTTCGAGAGGTGTAACAGTTACACCTCTCGAAGCAGTAACAGTTACACCTCCATGGCCACTGACGATATGGTACTGATGGCACCACCGATGATCACACGCTGTAGAAGTTACTGGCTTTTGGATACCGCATATTGCTGTCTGCTAAAAGCATTATAGTACCTAAGGTGTTGACGGTGCTTCAAAAAAGTTTGTGTCTACTGTTTGCCCCCTCCTAACCACATAGAATAGAAAGAAAAGGCCAAGGAGTTTTGTGAGCGTTGGGGATTTTCCAATGATTGAAAACATGGCTCCATCCTCATCAGGAAGTCACTAATCACACTGAACGAAACAAACGTTCTCAGACAAAATCTGTCTATTCAAAATCTGTTTTACGCGCAGCGTAAAACCGAATAGACTCCTCTCGAATCAGTCGGTCTAACACGTCGGCTAGGAAAACAGCGTTTGATGAGGATACAATTGACGGTTTGAGCCGAGTCGGGTTACAGCAGTGACCTAAGCAAGGCGTACCTAAGCAAGGCAACCCGGAATTTTTACGTCAATATGTGAAAATGGACTAAACATGGATCCATCGCTTTACTCCGGTTTTTGAGTTGAGAGCAACTGGTAAACCTCGTCCAAAGCGTCCGAAAGCACAACAATCAGTTGGGATGTGCGTGGTGTAATACTCATCGACTATCTTGAGGAAAAAAAATACCATCAGCAGTGATGGCAGCATTTGATAGCCAAAATTGCAAAGAAACGACCGCATATGGCATAGAAAAAAGTTTTGTTCCATCAAGATAACTCACCATATCACAAGTCAATCAAAACAATGGCAAAATTGCATCAATTGGTCTTCAAATTGCCTCCGCATCCACTGTATTCTTTAGGTCTGTTCGCGGACCTCAAAATGCTCACCGTCAAAAAAAATTGTTCAAATGAAGAGGCAATTGCTGAAATTGAGGAAACTGAATATGATGTGTTGTTTTTCGCAAAGGAAAACATAATATTCATTTTAGTTTCAAAAACTTGTCCAAAAACATTTGTTGCGGGTAATTAATCATTTGTCATTGTTGCAGGTCACATTGCTAATGCTGGTATGTCTGGGAGCAAGTTTAACAGCCCAGAAGATGCAGAAAAAGCGGCAAGTTGATGGTATTGTTTCAAAAGAAGACGACCATGTACCTGCAGAAACAGGCTTCGGAAACCCAGCCGCCGCAGTGCAAACTGGAAGCAAATTTTTCCAGTAAGTTTCCCCAATACACTCGAATATGGAAATACATGCTTGTCAACGTTTAATTAAGAGAGGATATCCCCTGGCTAATACCGACAGGTGTCAGTGCAGGATTCTTCACTGAAGTATCTGAATCTGTAGAGAAGGGAGGGTAAGCCCACAGCACTTAGCCACATATGACCCGAGGAGTTGTCCTCCTAGGTCATTGTCCATCCTGTCCTTTCCAGGAAGCTGGACAGATCACTGGGAGACCTCTCCTTTATATCGGCAGGTAACGATAAACCCGGGCACTCAAATAGGACATGCCTGACGGTCTCATCTTCCTGTTCACACATCTTGCATAGAAGTGTGTCCACTACCCCCATATTATGGAGGTGTTAAGCATAGATTTTTCCTGGTCATCGCCAGATATTTCTTCGGCGCCAGCTTCCCAGGGTCGTCCAAGGTGATCCTGACAAGATTGCATCCTCTGATTCCATCCCATTTCTTTAGGGATTGAGCATGGGTGTAACATTTGGCTAGTTCCGCAATTGTCGAAGTCATCAAGCTGTAGGATGCCACTGGGTCCTGAAATTCTCAGTCCTGCCGCTTCCTTAGCTGAAGAGTCGGCAATGCGATTGCCTTTACTCCTGTCGTGCCCTTTAATCCACCTCAGGATAATGTTATTATCTATCGAGGCTTTAGCTAAATCTTGGTGGCACTCTAGTACTAGCCCTGAGGTAACACGTTGTCTGTTCAAGGCTAATAGGGATTGTCTGCTGCCAGTGCAGATTGTTATGTTTTTGCCAGAAATTTCTTTCCTGGTTATTTCTTTTGTGGCGATTGAGATACCAGCCAGTGCTGTTTGGACCACGCTACTTAATCTTCAGGCTTAGTGATATGGAGTACACTCCACATCCTGAACCTTCTTTGGTTTTTGAGCCGTCTGTATATTTGCGTATTGCATTTGTAGCATCTGACTCTGTGTTCTGTTTTATCTGTATTTTGAAGGGGTTTATTAAACACAAACCTGGGTTCAATTGCATCACTGGCTGCCTGCAGCAGAGGTTGCGCAGTAAGCGCTTGTCGTCATAGGCCCAGCCTCAATTTACCCATTCTTACTTCGAGGTTCACACCAGCCGTGCGCAATCGTAACATGGGCATTAACGAAACCTCCGCAACGTACAGATCCAGAGAGGTCAGACCCGTAATTAATTCCATTGCCGCGGTTGGTGTTGTTCTCATGGCTCCTGTGATGTTTAAACAAGCCAGTCCCTGTATTTGATATAATTTTCTGATGGCCGTTGCTTGTAGAACTTTCGGTCCCCATGCCATGGCTCCATACGTTAACATAGGTCTTATTATTGCAGTGTCGATCCAGGTGACCACATAGGGTGAAAGACCCCATGCGCGTCCCACTGTTCTCCGACATTGCTCATAAGCCACATTGGCTCTTTTTGCTCTACTATGTAGGTGAGAGTTCCATGTTAGCTTCTCATCGAGGTATTTCTCCTCTTCAGAGAAGTTTAGTTTGCTTTTGAAGATTTCGGGAGGTTTCAAGCCCAATAATCATCTCAGTCTTCTTGGGATTTATCGACAGTGAGTATTCCTCACACCATGTTTCTATTAATTTGAGCCCATCCTGCGCTCTATCGTGCGAAAGCGCAGAAGGGTCACATATTTTTATTATTTGTTTCTTGAAAATCACGACTTTGAATCTCGAAATTTCGACTTTACTCTCGAAATTTCGGCTTTATTTTAAGTCATAATTTCCAAGAAACAAATAATAAAAATATGTGGCCCTTCTGCATATGCAATTGTGTAGAATCCATTATTGTTGAAGTGATTAATCAGAGTATCCAGAACTAATTTCAAACGCTCCCTCGATATCTTTAAATATACCCAGGGTGGTCCAATAGTCTCTCGATTCTGCCAACCACATGGTGAAAGGCCGAATCGGTAGACCTTCCCGGAGTATATGCATGCTGATTTGGATGAAGTGGGTTGTGAACTAGGATTTCATCTCTTATGTACCGCTCACAGAGCCTCTCTATAGTTTTTGAGAAGAACGATGTGAGACTAATTGGTCGGAATGCTTTTGGTTCGGTGTAGTCCATCCTACCTGGTTTGGGTATAAATACTACTCGTACTTCTCTCCACTTACTGGGATTATACCTCAGAGCTAGAGAGGCTGTGAATATTCCAACCAGTCCCCATTGAAGTGGGGCTGGTCTTATACCGTCAAGTCACTGAAGTTATTCCTACATGTGTGGCCTGCATGCAGACCAGTCATAACCTTACAGTGTAGGGAATCTCAACTCCCTAAAGTGTAGGGACCTGGCCTGAACGAATTATTCGTTTAGATTATTTGATTTATAGCCAGTATTTAAGTATGCCCACTGACTATATGTGAAAAGTTGTCTTTCCTTATACGAGGAATTGGACAAATTTTGGATATACGGTTACCTCGTTCACAGGCAGATGGGGCGACGACAAACCCATTGTTTATTGTTAGCTTCAGCCTAGTTAGAGGAATGATACTCTGAAGGAATTCGATTTTCAATTATCGGAAATCAACTATATGTTGCACTTTTGCACTGACGAGTCGCCAAACAGCCCGAAACCGGTCTGCAATTGTGTTCCAATAATTTAAAATCTATTGGCGCAGTTGTATCGCCAACAGCATATCCAGGAATAACTTCTGCGTGTATTTACCCCACACGCCCGAAGAAGCCATTGTATGGCGAAACACGTGTTGCGATTTTGTAAAATCGTTTAGTGAAAATCACACAATTAAGTGTTTTTTGAATACGTTAGCTCAATGTGAGTAGGCAAAGTTGCCAAGTACATATTTAAAAAGCGTGACATATAAGTCTAGTAATAGGATCAGCACGTTAAAATGTAAGACATCGTTAATCCTCATCGTACAACATTCAACTTTTGAGTGTTGTTGTTCGTAGGGCAGCGACATCTGGTTAACGAAACAATATATTTTAAATAATGATCAAAACCAGTAAAAGCTTTTACGTAAAATGAAAACAGTATTGTTCCATTAGAAAATATTCTTTAGGGATTCGTAACATCAAGATACTTTCAGCTTTTCAGTTATCGTTAATCACAAAAAGAGAGGCAGGTGTGATCACCATGTTCGGGAAAGTATAACTTGTGTTGACATGGTTGCCGTAAGTCTCGGTTTTTTGCGCCAGAAAGCAAGCGCTGCATAGATAAATAGTTACAGCAGGAAATAAGTAGGTATGATGAATGTATGAATTTTCAATTTTGTTTTGTTCTGGTGAATATTTTCAAGATTTATTGGACATTAGCATTCATTTTTCGTATCAATCCCTCGATGTGTTTGCATTCTGGGTCTTGAGTCATTTCTTGAACAGGGAAATAGAGTTCAGCTTCGTCGTTTCGACTGGCGGATCAATAAACAGGCCGTTTTTCAGCTGCTTCCACTATTGCTATCTCGGAAACGGTAACACCTACAAGATCAGTTGAATTTGACAAAAGTTTTCTTTTTTGAGAAACTAGAATAATCTCTTTTAAGAAAGAGAATATCGGTGGATGTTTTTGAAATATTTTATGAAATATTCGCCAAAAACTAGAATTGTCGAATATCGTTTTTTGGTTATGACCCTCCATTTCGAATTATATAAAAAACGCTCAGAAACTTTCATCAATATTTTATACTTGATTTACCTGCTTCATGTATGAAGCTCTGCTCCTAACCATATCCTGAAGTTACTGAATTCCATCCAGAAAAGGGCCATCTCCCAACCTGGATAGTCTGGAACATCGATGAAAGTTGGAGATTTGTATTTCTCTTATAGATACTTTCACGAGAGGTGTACAAGTTACACAGAACATTTGATTCCCCCAAGAGAGGTACATCAGTATATACTCAGTATACCTCTCGAACTTTACTGTTTGAGAACTGTGTTAATGTGAAATAAACTTCCTGATAACGTTTCTTCAAATGAATCTAGCTATTCAAATTCAACGTGAATCGCTACTTTTCTTGCAGGCACCGCTCTATGAGCGCCTTAAGTATTTTCCTGTAGTGCTTGTGTTTTGTCAAAAAAAGGCATCGCCTCCAAGACTCAAGGTTTGTCACTGTAGTGCTTGTGTTTTGTGCTCAAAAAATTCATCAACTTTTTATCGATATGGACCTCTAGTTTTTTTCATCGATTTTGGTAGCCACTGCAATAACAAATTTAGCTATTTTCCACAATGCAGGCTAGTCATTAGCTAATTTTTGCTGACATTGGGGCATTCAATAATGGGTTCAATATTTTTCTATTCCAGAATGAAAGTTACTTTTTTCAACTTATAGAATTCATTCACGATATCAAGCGACTCATGATTTTCAATGATGATGTTGGTCATAACATCATGTTTGTACTGTACAACTTTTATATTTGTTTGAAGGTGATTGACAATGTTTCATGATAAATTTCACTAGTTCGGACTTCCATTGTCTTATATTTAAAATGAAATCCCTGAAACAACTAAACAGGGGTATTAAAAATGAATAGCTTGAAATAACAATTATATTAAGCAAAAATAACCTGAAATGATTTAATAGTGAAATAAAATACAAGTAAAAATAGAACGATTGAACAAAAAATAAAAAAAATAAAGAAACAAAAATGAAAATAAAAATTTAAGGGATTCCATGCCACGTTAGTTCACGACGTTTCGATTGTTAGTATCTACAATCGTCTTCGGGTGATGACTGGACAGATTCCTCTGAGAGATGACTATTTATAGGTCGTTCGAGTACTTTCACTTATCCCCGCTTTCCATTTTCCGCTTCACTGGTTCAGTGGGAGATGACCGTTTGGCGGGAGTTGGCCATTTTTTGCTTGATGAAGGGTTTCCATATGTTGCGTATCTCTACGCTAGCTTGGCTGAATACGTTGTTAGACAACATGTATGCGGCTTCCTTGAATTTTCTCCTAAACTAATGTTCCTCTCTGTGTATGATCTCAACTTAGAACCACTCGATGTTGTGTTGATGGGTCCAAACATGGTCTGCTATTCCTGATTTGCTGGTTTCCCCTCGCTGTGTGTGTTTCTTGTGCTCGACAATGCGAACATTCAATGGCCTCTTAGTTTCACCAACATAGGATTTTCCGCACTCACAGGGTATCCGGTAAATGTAATTTTTGGAATATCCACGACAACGTCCGTCCGCACATTTCACAAATCACTGTCCGAAAATTCAATTAAACCAATTGAGCGTCGAAGTTCTGCCTCGGCCGCCATACTCTCCAGACCTCTCGCCAATCGACCAACATTTTTCTCGCCGGTAGAATCTTCGCCAATCGGTGCCATGCAAAAACGGCCTTCGTCCACTTCTTCGGATCCCGAGCATACAATTATTATTTTTATGGAATTAATCGACTTGTGTCACTTTGGCAAAAATACACTGATCAAATAGCGCTCATTTCGATTGAATTGAATGAGTTTTCACTGAGTTATTACGGTTTGAAGTAGACATAGAAAGATGGACAAAAAATTTGAAAAAACTCAATACTTTTTTCTGCTTTACAAAAATCATATAGATTTTGGAAAGTAGTTCCAAAAGTTGAGACCTGATGAATGTATCACTGATTTTAAAGTACTTAGGAAATTTCTAGGATCCCATGCCAACCTTATGGAAAAAATATTTATTTCTAAAAAAAGTATTTTTCCATCACTTACAAAAGAAAAACAATCAAAGATGATCGGAGTATGTATTTCTGCAACGATATGCCTAATCGAATTAATAATATCCAGTTTCATATCACAAAATCAGTCTCAGGTCACCAATGATTTTTTAAATTCTCCAAACTTCCTCAACAGAATTTCCTGCCTTCATTACTGTCACTGATCATTTTTTTATATATAGGGACATTTATGTGGCAATGGAAAAGCCGAACGAACTAGAATTTGGCCACGTCCGTGAAACCCCGAACGACTGGGAGCAACGATTCGAAAAAATCAATTTGGAAAACTTGAAGCGACAAGGAAAGGTTATCCTCTTGATATTTCTCACATTATAATAGTTGTTCCAAAACCGCTCATTGATCGCCTGAATCTGCTGCAAATTCTAGCTTCATTACTGCTTTTCTGGTTGCCACCGCTTTGCCAAGCTCACTAGGATTAATGCTTTTTTCTTTTTATGCACTAACAGATATATTCACCGGCCCGCTAAAGATCACGTGGACCATGGACACAAAAGAGGAAACGAACACCATTTCATAGAGCGACATGAGAAGGAGCGCCCCCACGCAGGAGAATTTAAAACTAAAGTAATATTTCATTCTACTTTTACTAACAGTTGAACATTTATAAAGGTTGGTATTGACAATTCAGGATTCAAAATGTTCCTGAGGAGTTCAGTGGATGCCATGTGCTATCGCGAGACTTCTTTTTGTGTAGTAATTGTCTGTCATGAAAGTTACATATATATGAAATGTGAAAGTTTTACTACATATGTACATGTAGCGGCGTACAATCATTTTTACCATTGAAATCGAAGAAAAGACTCTTGAGTTTTTAGTGAAAGAACAATGTATTTAGAAAAACATTGACATCCCAATACTAGGAAACGAAGCAAATTAGGACAAACGTTCAGATGAACGTGATGACATGACCTAAAATTGATGACATCATTGGGTTAATATCGATTGGGAGTGTGAATAAAATTATAACCTTTTTGGTATTTCATCTTTTCCATCTCATATCCCTTTCAAATTGAAATTATAACCATATTACTATTCAGTTTACTCTATTAGTCATTTTTATACGGATTTTCATCAAGTATCAGCCAGTTCTATTCAATATAATTAGGTATACTCTCATGACAAAAAGTAACCTACAACAAGCATTCAAAAATATTTCCTAATTTCGTTGTTTCATTAAATTTCAAATAGTTAGAGAGACTGGTCACAGAACCTCTATAACTAGCCCAGAATTATAACCACAAATTCGACATGCTGCTTACCTACAAGTTAGTGCGATATAAAGCTATTGATTATATAAATAAACTAGTTCAGTAACAGTGAAGAAAATGATAAAGTTAAATACTTCAGTGGTTTCCAAAGTGTTTAAATCGTTTTTCCTGTCTTTTCTCATCGGGATCTGAACCTTCTCATGTTGAATCACTAAATGCATGACTTCATTTCCACATGTTTTCCAATGCTGAATGCTTGAAACTCCAAAATTTATCAATAAATCTCACAAATCGATTCTTTATAGGTAAGATGGGGTGATAAGCATGGAGGTTATGGTGAACACTACTGGGATTACAACCATGCCGGACATGGCCATGACGGAGATAGTGGGGAAAGTCAGTTGAACGAGGAGTATGCTGCTTATGAAGATGAATCCAAACATGTCCCAGTTTCTGCTCGTCCAGAAAATACCTTGAGAGAAAAAAGACAACCCGCCCTACTAGAAGATGTTGAGTTCATTAATGACAAAGCTAAATCTTCAATATTGGGGGGAAAAGTGCAAAAACATGGAGGTAATTATAGAAGAGTCAATGACTTTAGAGGAAAGCGAGAACAACAGAAAAGCTTTGGGAAAGCCTTAGTATTCGATCCTGATTTGGGAGTCATTGTTGATCAGGACACTGGTGTTGAGTATAAGTTGAGCCCGATTATTAAGTGATTCTGAATTCAGATGTCAAGCTTTTCTCCAAAGATTTTTGTATTTTTTTATTCGTATTTATACTAAAATAAGACTTGCTTTTATTCTGAGTCATGTGGTGTTACTAATATATTTTTGTTATCTAGTTTTACCAAATATTTTTAATAATAAAGTTTTTATACCGAGTGTCTGTTACATCTTTAGTTACCCTGTTTGGTTTGGAATTTTGTTTTCAGACCATTTAACGAAATCTATGGATTCCTTCATATCAGATAGTTGTATCTAGGATTGAGAAAATACAAAACAAATTTTTGACGTCCTGTGCTTGCAAAGCCTCAAACAAAAAATTCTCAGTCAATTATCCCACTTCTGACACCAAATGTTACTACAACACTGCCAATACACAAAAGCTTCCAGTGAACTTCAGACCAATACTTGAATAATGTCAATCGCCTTGTTAACTCACTTGGTGCCGCACTTACAAGTAGACTTCACTTATCTGCCTGTTGTTGGTATTTATATATCGTAATGGAAGTCGATAGGGAAGTTTCTAGAATCCAATAGGGAAGTCTCTGGAAATCTCTCGAAGCGACGCGAACGATCGAGAAGCGCAAGTCGAGTTCAGCGCGATCTTGGCCAAGTCACAATAGATTAACAACGACCAGCAGCGGTCAGCGTTATTTTATTCTAGGGTGGGTCGGTAGCCGGCCGGTTCGACGTGGGTGCTTTGTTCACTCACTCGAATTGATTGCCGTATTGGTCGGTGGGTCAAGCCCTAGTCTGAACGATCGATTTTTATCTTGCTATCGTCCAACCCATGTTAGGAATCATACGTTAAAAGGTAAGACCTCGTTAATACTTAGCTCGCACAAGTTTCGACTTCTGAGGGTTGTCGTTCGTAGGGGTGCGACAGCTGGTTAACGGAAAAACAGACAGGGTATAATTTACAGCACTACCACCTTACCTGAGGTTGTTAGTCCCTAACAACATTCCAAGTAGAAACATCATGACCCACGAAAGGTCTCAGTTGCTCTATATGGACAACTTTAGACTTGCTTCTGGGTGACAATTGCATTCGGTACACCACATCGTTCTTTTTTTTTGTTACCAAGTAAGGTCGTTGCCGTGGTCTCGGCAATTTGGGACACAAACCTTACCAACGTTGGTGTTGGTAGAGCCACACTGCATCGCTCTTTTTGCAGCTCACCGGCAGCGACTTTTTGCCAAATCTCATCTTCATCCTGTCGCTAGAAAGCTGTAATTCGAATCTGGCAATCTATTAACAATTTTTAGGCTCTGCTTCAAGTCATAACATACTCTTCTTCTTAGGACTATTCGTTGACTCACATTTAGATTGGAAAGAACATCGCAAGGCCCTGATTTCCAAACTTTCATCTCTCCACTATATGTTCAGAAATCTCAAAGTTGTTTTGACACAGCAACAATTAATAAACTTATACTACGCACAAGTGGAAAGTCGACTGAAGTATGGTATTTGACTATGGGGAGACTCTACACTGTCGAATAACGTCCTTGTATCACAGAAAAAAATCATTAGGTGTATTGGGAGTGAAAGAAGACTCTTCTTGTCGAGAAATCTTCAAATGATTTGAAATTCTGACCTGTACAGGCCTCTACGTATTTGAAGTCTGTATTTTTGTGTTCAAAAATAGGGATTTTTTCTCATAAATAACGATTTCCACGAGTACAACACACGTCTTAAGGATGATTTACGATTAACACTCTCTAAACGCAATATTTCCTATAAAGCTCCAGCTCGAATCGGTGCGCAAATATTTTCAACAACTTACCTTCCTCCATCAAAAGCTTAAAACATGAATGTACTTTTGAAAAAAAACTCAAAGAATACCTGGTTGGAAATATCTATACTCTAAATGAATTTTTATTCAATGTGAATCTGTATTTTTATAAAGTCAATATTCTGTGTATTATGTATACTATGTATATGTGAACATGTCTTTGTAGTGTTATATAATCCTTAATGTACTGTTATTTTCCCAACCGTACTACCATGCGGTTGTAACCATGACTCTTTCTTAAACGACTGTATGTTGTCTTAAAGAAATAAAGTGATTTGATTTAACTCTAAAAGAGGATTCATCTAATGGGCTGCCACACATTACATCCATTGGAAGCTTCAGTTCTCAGTATCCCAACAGAAAAAGAGTAACCAATGTATCTCAGTCTCTTTAGTTCTCAGAGACAAACATCGAAAAACAGTGCGATTTTGCTGCGCGTTTCGCTAACCAGGAGGTCAACATGACTAAATTTTACTACTATGTTAGTGTTTTTATATGCTAGTTGCCTAACTACTACCAACTACTACCAATCAGCAAAGTCTGATGAGCTAAACTCATATATCTTCAACAATTTCTTTGTAAACATTGCACAAAATGTAATTAATGATATAGATCCTGCGGGGAGAACTTTTGAGGACTACATGCAACATACTCAGCAAAATACCTATATCCTTTAAATTTAAAGAGGTAACTTTTATCCAAGTGAGAGATAAAATAAGTTGTTTGAGAAACAAAAACAGCAAAGATAATTATGAATTCACCACTTGTATTATAAAAATCTTAAAAAATCTTATTGTTTATCCATTGACCCAACTTTTTATTCTCTGTATAACAGACAGTATATTTCCATCCTCCTTAAAAATTCCAAAAGTGATTCCTGTTTATAAAAAAAAAGGTTCAATTCCTGACAGAAATAACTATAGACCTGGAGAAGGTACGCGGTTGCCATGTGTTATCGTGGGGCTCCGTTTTGTGTTGTGTTGTATTAAAATTGTAATGTGGATTGTCTGAAAAAGTGATGAATAAGTGGCCCCCTTTATTCACGCCGGTATCCAGGCCGGGGTGGTTCGGATAACCACGTAAAGGGGGCTATATATGTGAAAAATTTCCAAAAGGTCTCCCAAGTAGGAGGCGACTTCAAAAAATGAAATTGTTTTTATGTTAAAAAAACTAGTGTTTTATATATATAAAGTTAGAAAAAAATGGGTGGCAGCATTGCTTTGTGCAAGACCGCTGCGCCCCCCGACGAAGCTCCTGTTAACCAACAGGAGGAGCATTGGTCATATGCGCCTGAAGATAGGAAGCAACGACCATCTAAAATAGAGAGAGAGAGAGA